ATATATTAGGAAAAAGAATTTGTCAGCCCGTAATAGTATACATCCAATGGCCCAGATTGAATATGGGCCGATTGGACAGCCACAATCGCGTTTCATATTTAAAAAAAAAACAATCAACTTTGATTGGAGTATGATGGGAAGCATAGGACAGTGGGAGCAATCTTTAGGGATTGTGAGGGCTGCGCTATTATGTCATTCAAAGGGGTCTAACAGGTACAAATGGTTCAAATCAGTGGTTTAAAAATCGCCGAGTCGGCACTGAATCGGCCGATTCGACCATCTCGTATCAATACCTATGTAAAAAGGAGAATCACCCGGTTCTAGAGAAAAACCGGTGATTCTGTATAGTAAATCGCTGCATTACGCTTCATGAGGTCATGAATCGTCCAGTTTGAGCATTCTTGTAATTTTTTGGGTCAAAATGGGTCAAAGGTCATGGAATCTAGGGTCCACAACCTCCAAGCCACGTGTTCTTAGCCACAAAGCTTCACGCTTCCTCATGCGTTTCGCACGCGTTGTGGGTCGGTACCAAGGTAGTATTTATACCCATCAATCTTCTTCCATGTTTTCGATGTGGGATTATTGTGAACAAAAGGTAATAGCTTGAACTAGTAATATAATATAATTTTTTATTCGAGTGAATAATATCACAATTGGGGCTGTGGTGTAGTGGTTATCACGTCCTTCCCTCATATTGGACGTCGCAAGTTCGAATCTCGGCAAGTTATCACGTCCTTCCCTCACAAGAAATTTCTTTTTCTTCCCTCACAAGAAATTCCTTCCCTCACATGAAATTTCTTTTTTTTGTCAAAAAAATAAAAGTTTATTGTAAAAAAAAATATAAGGTTCTTGTCAAAAAAAAAAGGTAATACAACAATATTTATTTTTTTGATACGACAAGCATTTCTTGTCAAAAAAATAAACAAAAGGTTATTGTCAAAAAAAATAAAAGGTTCTTGTCACAAAAAAAATCATCAAAGGTAATACAACAAGTATTTCTTGTCAAAAAAAATAAAAGGTTCTCGTCAAAAAATAAAATAAAAGGTAATACAACAAGTATTTCTTGTAAAAAAATAAAAAACAAAAAGTTCTTGTTAAAAAAAATAGAAAGTAATACAAAAAAATAAGAGGTAATACAACAAGTATTTCTTGTCAAAAAAATAAAATAAAAGGTAATAATTTTGGTGGCCATTTTTCATCGATTTAAACCATTATTTATTGTAGTCCATGTATGATGATATACTCATCAATAATAATTCTATGATTTTTCTTTTGTGTGATGTAAATTTAATGGTTAAAATAAGTTCATACAGGGAAAGAACATCTCAATAATTGCATATTGATGAAAAAAATTAAAGTTAATAATGTAGTACCCCGATTTCTTATTGGATTCCTAAAAAACAACATTTATAATGAATTGTAATAATTTTTTTGGATTTTTTTTAAGGCTTAATCTGATCGATTCAGCCGATTCCCAATCCGGATCACCGATTCACCGATCCGGATGGGTTTTTGGGGTGCCCGATCCGCGGCACCGATCCATTTTTTAAACCACTGGTTCAAATAATGCAGAACTGTTGGCTTTGGCAGCAGGATTTAGACAGTATGCACAAGATTTCATGGGGCAACTTATAGCTACCGGTGATTCACCCAATATTATCTAGTGGAGGTCTCGGGAGTATCCCTGTCCTTGGGGGGAGTCAGACTTCATGGACAGAATATTACATTTTAATTATTTCATTGGTTGTTCATTACAACATGTACCTAATTAGCTAATGGAGTAGCTGACGGTCTCACCAAGAAAGGAGTGAACCTTCATGCTCTTATGGTCAAACTTTCTTATCATCCAATGTATAAAGAACACGAGCACTATGTAACCTTGGAGGCATAGTTTACTTTTACTCCCTCAGTCAAAAGACCTACTTGGAAGGATTTTTTCAATCTAAACTTTGGGAACCACTTAAGAGTTACTACATGATTATTCTAAAAAAAAATTGAAATTTGAGTTTTCAAACACTTAGATCTCACTATCTCTCACTATCTAAAAATTGGATGGTCTCCATTAAACATTGAGATATTATTTTTTTCGAGTGCATAGAGGGTATAATTAGGAATTTTTTTATTGAGGTCAATCTATGGGTTGAAGAGGCTAAATCCCCAAGATTTGGGATCTTAAAATCTAGATGTTTCACCTGAGGGAGTAAAATGACATTCTACTCCCCCAGAAGTAGAATATCTTTTGGCACGTATAATTCTTTGTTTATAAGTGTTCTCACAAAACTTGATGGATGCATTTCATATAAATGAAATCATCAAGATATATATATATATATATATATATATATAATCTACTAATAGTACTATGTATTTTATAATCTTCTAGTTTATAAGTGTTCTCAACTAAACTGATGGAGTACTATTACTATATAAATCGAAATCTATACTAAGATATAT